CTTGCCAATAGTACTGGATTTCACTTAACCTGAATATGCTTGTAAGAATTATGGTCTGTCCCGATTATGTTCGTCACAAGGTAAAAGACAGTTTAGCACGTTTCCCCCGTAACCGAAGGAGACTGCTTCGAGAATACTGGCAATCAGAGTGTTCAAGAAATATCAACAGACAGTTGGCCAAGATTAAGCCACTTTTAATCTCTGTATCCCACACTCTCATTTTGGATAAGAGACACGTCTTAGTGAAATTCCCTGGCATCAAGAGGCCTACTCATAGCATTGTCGGTAAAATTCTATCATCAGTCCTTGCATCACCTAAAGCATCATATGAGGTCTTAAGCAAGACTTGGTCATATTCTCGAAAAAAGTACTCATATGAAAATCTTAGGCTATGAATTATACTAAACGTCTGTTAAAAAGTTGAAATCCTGCAGTGACTTCATGTGTGACCTATAGACATATAACTAGAAACGTTTTACGAAGAGACCTTCCCACACTCGATCCCAGTGCGGTCTGTGCTTATGTGCGCCACGCAAATGATGTTATTAGGGAGACTTTCAGTTTGTATGAAAGGGCATGATGAAAAGATTCATAGATTGATCTCATTAGAAGACAACGGCCGATTCTCGTTTTACCATTCAACGGGTAGTTGAATTTTTCTATAATGATATGAATAGATCTCTCGTTCTAACACAAAAGCGACCACATGGATACATTATTTTATACTGACGTGATCTGGATAATGGGTCAAATTTTTCTCTAAAAGTGGGCATAACTGAAGAAGGTGTCATAGTTTCCCTGAAAACCGTTTTTATTCCAGACTTCCTTACTAGTACGCCTTTTTTTGGAGAGAATGCACGAAGGCAAAGACAAAACATGGGAAAAAGTCTCCTTAGCTTTCCCTATGCATTCATCATTTAAAAAGATATTTTTTATTAATCTAATGCTATTTTTACTCAGACTTAGGAGATTATTCTAAGGTGTGAAAACCAGAATGTTGTGGTCTTTTGTATAGGATTATTATTCTCAAGTAATATTAGTTTGAGCTGATCCAATTCATTATCACAATGGTCTCTATCGCCCAATCTCATATTCCGTATAATAAAAGATTTTAAAACACCCACCTTTACGAACATATGAAGGCCAAGATGGTGTGGCCTCTGGTATGGTATGTACCAAGTTCACTGTCAGATGCTGCGAATCATGACAACTACTATGGCAGACGACTTCGGACTAGGTGCGTTCTAAATAGTCTCCCTGACAGCAAGACCAAATTGCGACAACGAGGTCAACCAATCCAAATTTACGGTTGGAGCGATGGTGTTGAGTCGCTGTGAGCAGCGATGTTTAATTGATCAGAACAGGAGCCAACACATTCTGGTCTATCTTTAATTTATCCGCCAACAATATTTACATCATAAAGGTTGTTGTTACAAAATTTATGATAATACAGACAATAATACTAGCCGATAGAGACCATTGTGATAATGAACCGGATCGACTCAAACTAATATTACTTGAGAATAATCATTAACCGGTCTGATCGAAAATAGCAGTAGATTAATAAATAATATCTTGTTTAATGTTTTCTTTTTGCCTTGGTGCATCCTCTCTTAAAAGATAGACGAACTAGTAATAAGATTGGAAATAAAAATGGTTTTCAAAGAAACCACGACACTTTCCTCAGTTATGCCCACTTTTGGAGAGAAAGTTGACCCATTATCCAGATCAGGTTGCTATAGCATAATGTATTCATGTGGTCGTCTTCATGCTGGATAGATTTTCTGTCTTATTCAACAAAGGGCTGCTGAGCGTAGAAGCGCCTGTAGCGGCTGTTGGGTTAAAAAATCAGAGCTAGCTGGGCACACAGCAGAAACGTCTTGTCGTTTTGCTGATTATGGTATGTCTGCGGCTAAACGTAAAATTAAAGGTCGTTGAATTCAATCGACAAAGCAATACCGGCATAAAGTTAGGTAAACCTTCTTTCTCAGGTGTTGAGCCGCAATAGACAATTATATTATTTAGAGAATTTTGCTTAGATTTCATGAGGTTAAATTACCTCCAGTGATTGTCATAAAAAGAAAACAAAAGAAAAATTTGAAGTCCTTTTTCTCTATTTAGCTTTTTACTTTAGATTAGCTTGTGCACCGTTTAGTTCTAGATAAAGTTGTTTTGGGCATTAGTAAATTTAAAATAGTTGATTATACTGATATTGATGGTTTACTTAATTGGCACATCATTAAATTAGAATTTCTGTAGCCATTACTTTTATATTTAACGTTTCACACCAAAAGCCATTTTGTTAACAATTTTGTTATTTGCAAGTATACTGTTTATTATTAGACAATAGTCAAACTTAGTTTTTTTATACTAATACTATATTTTACACACTAATAATCCTAGTAAGCTTACTACTGGTAAAAATCAGTTAAATATTAAGCTGTAAATCGTAAATAAAACGCGGATTATAACTATGAACAATGTACTCCTTCTAGATACGCGTTGAACTGATTTAATCTTATCCACCGAATATTTAATAATATTATTTTCAACTAGATACTATAGTCTAATCAGAAGGTTTACTGGATAGGTATCTCAGCGCTCGTGAATTATTGTTCTTTGATGGAAGAGACACTGGGTGAACAGGAAGATATTGATATGATAAACCTATATTAAAATTCTGCTGTAGGCAGAGTTTTTTTCTTGTTGAATCTTTTATCCTTTATAATCACTCCGATGGTCATTCTTTTTTGAGACCAAGTAATAACTAATAACACAACACAGAAAGTAATGGAAAGTTGTTTGTAAAAAGGCTATAGTCTTCGAAAATTGGGGTTAACTTATTCACAAGAGAGAACATAATGAAAGCGGCAATTTATTCATTAAAATTCTTAGTCCCTTCATCATATAAACCCAGCCACAAAGAGTATTTACTATGGAATATTGTGTTTATTTTCATTTAGGAAGCCCTGTTTGATTTATTTGCATTCATAAATCTTTCATTGGTGACTGGCATTTATATTTTTAGCTATTTATTTGCATTTTTATTAATTGGGTATTAGTTATTTATTATGAATATTTATATTGTTTACTTATAGATATTTTTATTTTGCCCTCGTAAAAGCTTTGTCCTTTTACTTTTGGAGTAACAATTTATGTCAGGAGAGTCGTTGTCACAAGCCAACAATAAATTGTGTTTTTAAATAAGATTTATCTGCATAGGTGTGTATTCTGAATACGTTCTATTACCGTTTATCAGAACTTATCTCCCGACGTATTCAAAAGGCTTTGGCAAACTATAAAATGTCCATAAAGATGCGCTTAGGGCTGATGATTTAAGAGTAAACTATTTGGCTACACTAAAACAGGAAATTTTAAAGAGAGAATTAGGCCTGTGATAAAATGGTTGAGATAATGAGATATGAGCTTGTAAGCATGAAAATCAAGTTACGAAACCACTTTTCCTGTTCAGTCTAGGGTCATTAACGGTTAACCCCCAAGGAAAGGCAAGACTGTAGTTTCGTAATCTGACATATCTGCTGGGTGATGGTTCTAACTTCACTCACATTCGTCCAACATGTTAGAGTATGCTCATCAACCAAACCAGATATGCCAGAATACACAACCCTAGTCTTGCCTTTCCTTGGGGGGTTAAACGTCAAGGCTTCCTCTTTGTTCATTAGACCTAAAGGATCAGAACCTGAGATTAAACCTTTGACAACTTTGATTTAGGACCGGAATTGCATGTAGACGCTAACACGCACACATACACATACACATACACTCGAGCAAAAGTAACATGACCAATATGAAAGATAATTAACCAAACCACTCTATATCATTAGGGGGACCTTATTTAGAATGAAAGTTTATGAAGAAGAGATTTGTTGGTCGATCTCACCAGATGAGGACGGATAAATCTCGTACTGCAGCCGTTTGACTTTTATACGATATTCATACGAGGGAAGACACCTCGTGGACTACATCAACATTAATTTCTTATTAAAGCCAAACGGCTGCAAAACAACGTGAATAGCTCGTTGTCTTAAGTTGTGGTCATTCAAGAAATTTCTTCATCACGCACCTTCGTACGAAATAAAGTGCACTTATCTTAACAATTTCATCGAAACCCAACTACTCTTCGTGTAATCACCAATTTTCCCTGGCCTTTGTTTCAGACCCGACGAGCTCACTCCTCACGCCTCTAGAGTACACAAATACACCCATCTATCTCACTCTCATGATCGTGGTGTCCCTCGCCGTGGTGTCCATCCTGGTCCTCCTCGCCTTCACTCGGTACCGCCATCACTTCTTCCCGCTGCGTGTCAGCCTCCCTTGGCCGAAACGCCCGCGCCTAGACCCCAGTTACTACGACCCCGTTGATGAGTCGCTCGGCCGATGTTTATCTCCACCCGGTCATTTGCCTGACCACGAAGCGGCGGCCACAGTGGACCAGAAGACTGGCCATTACTACTCTTCCGTCTACGAGGAGTGCCAACCGCTCGATAGTCTGACCTGTACCACCATTGCCATAGCAACTGCTACCACGACGGTCAGCCTCGGCAAGAGCCCCGCTGCCTGGTCCCAGTTGGTCTGCTGTCCAGCCGTCAGGTCGGGTCGCTCGTCACTCCAGCCATTCGGCAAGACCACCGGTGGCACCGAGCCGGACTCGGTCTCGAGTTCACCCGCGTCTCGGTTGTACAGCCAGCCGAGGCCAGCGGTTGCCGACGAGATCGGAGTGAGTCGTCGAGACTGTGCTACGCCTGAGTCGATGCTGGCGGCCAACCGATCGTCCAGGCTTCCAGCAGATGAGGCTGTCTGGGAGGATGGGGGCAGTGGCAGCAGTCGTGAACTCTCCGGCTACTGGGCCTCAGGAATGCTGAGTCAGCGGGTCAGGCCGGTCCGAGACGGTGCGGTGGAGCAGATGAGCTCTCGGACAGTCGATGCCAATCGTTCCTGGTCCATAGACTCTTCACACACCGACCGAGAAGTCACCACGCCGACCCATTTCGAGGCCTGGCAGGCGTCCATCAACCAACTGGTCTACGCGACCACCATCCTCGGGACCGACCAGCAACTGGTCGACCGTCGGCCAAACGTCTGCCCACCGCCTCAGGCCTGGCTGGCAGAGACTGATTGGCCCAGATGTATCTCGTTCCTGCCGGCCGGGCAGGCGGCCTCATGCGTCCACAGTTTCAAGAAATTTCGCCCCAACGACTCATCAGAACGGCCGCAGATGCCGACAGCTCTTGTGCCTGCCAACCTCAGTCAACAAATGCACAATCTCCACAGCCATAGGGCATATCCCGAAGGGCTTCCTGAGCCGTCTTGTCAGGCAACGAGGCATACGCCACTCTGGACGAGCGACGAGCCTGTAGAATGGATTGGAGAGGCTGAGTCTGATAGAGAAATGACGAAGTACAGGTCACCCGTCTGGAGAGATGGGTTAAGTCTTACTGCTCACTCTGTGATCACACAAAATGGGCGGGCTGTACCTTCCCGACAGGGCCAGCCAGCGCTGTCACACCGATCAGAAGACCTGATAACGACCCCGGGATCATGCTCAAGTGCAGAACATGTAAGTAGTATTATTGCATTATTGTGTTATATGTTGCCATAAAAATGATTATTCACTCTTTGGAAGAAGGAATAAGATTATGGTATTTTTCAGTTTATGGTTAGTGAATTCCGCAAGACTCATCCAATTGGTAGTTTATTAGGATTTCTAACTCTTAAATGCCAGAGTCAAGCCATTTTCTAGTTTCCACAATTTCAGGATAGTTGAAAAAGGTAAAATTTAATTGGTCACGTAAGATCGTATTTATCTTGATTTATGAGTCGTTTATGGAGTATTGAATGGGCTAAAATGAATAGGGGTCAATAATTTATGCATATTTTAATATTCAGGCAATAAATACTCAGACTAGTAAGTACAGTACTAATTAGCTAAGGGTAAGCAAGCTACACGAAATTTGACACTTCTGCAATTTGGTACAACATCCAGTTCTAAATGTT